CTTTTGGTGTACTTTCCATGGGGTTTATGTAGATGAAAAAGATCCAGATAAACAGCAACAAGCATTTGTAAAAACAGATCAAGCTTCTGAAATTCAGGTGACAATGATGCTCCCTGAAAGTTGTAAGCTACGAGATCTTCATCACAGAAACCTTCCTATAACCCATGTGTGAACAGAAGAAGGGGAAAAGCCCATGGTGGATTGCCTTACGTGAACTTGGGGTACCTTAAATTATTTTTATGACAGTGTAAATATGTAGAGGCCAATAATCCGCACGCAACTTCTCAACAAAAGCTAGTTCACATGGCTGCTCAGATTGCCTGTGGAATGAGCTACCTGGTCAGGAGGAAGTCCTCCACAAAGACCTGGCAGCTAGGAGCTCTGTCATTGAACAACTTCAAGTTAAGAGCAAAGCCAGTCCCTCTCCAGAGTTTGTTCCCCATGGACTCTCACTGTCTGAGGAACAGCAAAAACACCAGATCGATGGATGGCTTTTGAAAGTCTGGTTAACAATGAGTTCTCCAGCCTTCCCTGGTGATCCAGTGGCTAAGACTCCACACTCGCAATGCAGGGGCCTGGGTTCGATCCCTGTGGGGGAACTGGATCCTGCATGCCACAACTAAGAAGTCAGCATGCTGCTACTAAAGAGCCCAGGAGTTTATGACTCTGGCCAAACACCCTAAGTGGACATCTACCCGTTTGATGTGGCCGAGTACCTGAAAGAGGGTTACCAAATAGCCCCGCCTATCAACTGTCCTGATGAACCATTTAAGTGATGGCTTGTGCTGGGCCTTCAATCCAGAGGAGAGGTGCAGTTCCAGCAAAGGGCCCGGGGTCTCACAGAGGTCCGTGCAGCCCTGGGGGCGTGTGTCCGGCGCTCCTCTCACAGACCCCCAGCATCAGGAGGAAGGTGCCTGTCAAGGCCCACTTAGAGCCAGCTAGTCACATGCATCACCCAGCATCAGAGAAGCAGATGTCTTTCAGAACACTGAGCTTTAGGAATGCTTTAGCGTCTGAACTTTCTAAGACAGACTTACTGATGTGGAATGCTTTCTCAATATCACTTATATTAGCTTGAACTGAAAATGTTTGTGTAAATTTTTTACACATAGTTGCCTTTGAGGTATAGGTATATTCTTACAAAATATTTTTTAAATTGTTTAAATGCACACATTTGAACTAACAATCTTACTACCAACTGTTTTTTATTTTCTTAACTTCTAAAGATAATGCACATGATTCACCTTTAGAGTTTTGCTTTCTTTCACTAGTTTTGGGAATGATTTGTTTTCACCATGCAGTACTTTTTCTTAGGAAAATAAAAACCGTCCAGCAGTTACGGGCTAATGCCCCCTCTGCTTTGCTGCAGAGTCGCTACCTTGGTCCAAAGTGCCCTAGGGGAAGCCACAGGTGTGAGCAGAGGATAGTGGCCACATAACAGCTCTAGTGTCACATCTAGGCCAGCTGCTGGTGGGTCTTGTTTGTTCCCTGTGGCCCTGCTTATGCCAAAACACATAATCACTTCTATCCTGTGAAGGCTGGTCCAGCTGAACTAATGATTAGGGGTTAATGAGCCCACATCACGATGGGCAACTCTGACATTCCATGATCAGAGACCTCATCTCTTCCAGGCCCCAGGACCATACCAGGAGCCACGTTTAAATGGTGTGACTTTCTCCACGGCAAGTGACATGGCCTCACTTCAGGATACTCAGGATCTTTGTTTTGAGCCTTAGAAAATGCACATAATATCTTTCTGACCACAGATACCTCTGATGTCACTGGTTCTGCTGAGTCATCTGCCCAGGAAGCAGCTCCAGCCATGCTCATCACTCACCAATTGTGACTGCTTTTGTGCTGGGACAGCAGATTGCACCAGAGACCTAGGGTCTGCGAAGCCTAAAATATTTCTTATGTACCATTACAGGAAACCTATGGCCACAGCGGTAATTAACTGGAGCTAGGATAGGGACCACACCCCTGAAACCCTCTAGAGGTTGTACCTTGGTTACTTGTCTCTGTGTTTCCTCCAGGATATTGTGTACATGTACCATTGGGGGTGGGGAGGTAGGGTCTGAAGTCTGAATCTGGAATTCACTAATACAGTATCCTTCACCCCACAATAATTTACTAGCTACTCAGGTCTCCATGCATGTCACAAGACCAGGGCATGTGAAATGACCACTGTATGGTGTGTGGACCCGGTGATAACCACTGTAAGCAGAACCTGGACTGCTGTCCACTGATGGCCTAGAAGTCAGAGCATCGCTTCAACAACTGGGGGTCCATGATGATGCTATGGTTCCTGTGCCTGATATTAGAAACACACTAGGTGCAGTGTGAATGTGAGAGTAGTTTCTGCTTCTGCAGGTTCACTTACCCCAGTAAATAACCATGTGACTCTTTGGGAAAGAATGGAAGGACTTTTGCACTAGATGTGGTAATGAAAGGGCCCTCCTCTATAGAACGTGGCTTCTTTCTCTCGTGATACCTTCTGAGAAGTGGCTCAGACCTGGAAAATGGGCCTGTATCAGATGTTTGGTAGGGATGGCTGCTTTTAGCTTCCTGATCATCCAGCCTTTTGTGCTGTCTCTCTTTAATTCTTTCAATGGTACAGTTTGCATCTAGGTTCCTGCCCATCTGTTTGCCTTTAGCATCACCCTGTGCTATGAGCCAGCATCATATTCTCTGTAGTCAGGCCCTGGCTGGCATTGAGACTCTCTAATCACTTTGACCCCTACACCTACTTTCTGCTGACCTTGAGCATCCCCACCTGGAATCTGATTTTTCCACAACTTCCATCCCTGTTCCTGATAGAAGCCCACAGGAACACCATGTCCTACCACTATCCCTGATCTTCTGCAAAAGTTGTCCTTGAGCTATTGTAGATGCTTCTCATCCATGCTTTCCTCTCGGGCTCCATAAAGTCCATCAGGCTTTCCCATGGAGCTGGTGGACTGCACACCTTCCTGCCCTTTCATAGCGTGTCCACCCTGGCAGATTCACTTCTCTGAGCCTTGGATCTCATCCTCTACCACCTGCCTCGGAAGTTCTGGACTTTCTCTTTCATGCCATGTGGCCCAGGCCTTTCTCCATACTTCCAAGTCCCATCCTAGTGGGAGATCACCACGTCTCCCCAGCCTTGCTAAGCCCAGTGACCCGTAATTATAAACTCTCCCTTCTCCAGCCTTGGGTTCTGTGCTCATCCTCCCCACCCACACGCCCACTGGCTGTGATCCGCTTCCTCAGGAACAGCCCCCTTACCCTCTGCATCTCCCACAGACACTCAGAGAGAACCTGACATCCTCTGGGTTTGGGCCTTTCCTTCTGAACCAGCCTGGCCCATCCCTGGAAACGTATGTGTAGGTTAGTGCCCGTGCGGAGCCTGTGAGCAGAGTGGAAACGGGGCGCATCCAGGGCTGTGGGGTGTCTTGCCTGCCTGAGGCTTCGTCGTCTTCCTCAGTCGTGCCTGGTGGGGGAGGGGGCGCAGGCGGGGGTCCTGCTCTGTCAGCCCAGCCCGCAGCCTTCCTCTGCTGTCCCAGCCCTGGGGGAGGAGGCCCACGGGTCTTCTTCTCCCACCCTCACCCTCTCTGCGGTTTGCCTTCACAGACGCTCACTCTCTGTCCTATAACTTCACCATCGCTCCTCAGCCCAGACCTGGACAGCCGTGGTGTGAGGTTCAAGCCCGGGTGGACGGACAGCTTTTTCTCTCCTATGACTGTGGTCATGCTAAGCTCATATTCACAAGTCCACTGGGAGAAGAAGTGAAAACCACAAAGACCTGGGAAACACAGATGGAAACACTCAGAGACATCAGGGACCACCTGCGTGACTTTACGCTGGAGAAACCCGCGGTCACGGGTGAGTTAGAAAATCCATGTACAGGAGGAGCGGATGGGGCTTAAAATGCAGTTGGACGTTGGTCCTTCCCTAGTCGTCCCGTGGAAAGAGCAGCTGCTGCCTGAGAGACCAGGGCCAGATCAGCTGGGCCCAGGGGACGTGGACCCGGGGAGGTGGACCCAGGTGGGGCAAAGAATCTGTCAAGCCCAGAGGCTGAGCTCTTTCTTTCCCATGGTGGGAGCAGACCCTCTCACCCTGCAGGCTAGGATGACATGTCGCTGTGAGGATGAGAGACACATCAGTGGATCCTGGCAGTTTGGCTTGAATGGACAAATGAGCCTCCACTTTGATGTGGAGAATGGACACTTGAGAGTGGATCACCCTGGAGGCAGATGGATGAAAGAGAAGTGGGAGAATGACAGAGCTGTGACCGAGTTCCTGGAGAAGGTCTCCATGGGAGACTGTCGGGCCTGGCTTCAGGCTTTCATGGTGCGCTGGGAGAAAATGTTGAAGACCTCGGGTAAGTGAGAAGGGAGGAGAAAGTGACAGTCCCCTCATGGTGACATGGACCCACCTCTGTGTGTGTGTGTGTGTGTGTGTGTGTGGGTGTGTGTGTGTTTGATAACATGATCTATTGAAGTTGAGTTGTCCTGAAAGAACAATGACCCGGGGATGCTCTGTCATCCTCCTTTCTCTTCCACCGCCTGATGTCTCGCCTCACAGCACAGGCCTTTGGACAACTGAACATGGATTTTTGCTGATCCCAAACCTGTATACATCTTTTTGATTTCTGGGATTTATTTCTCACTGTACCCTCTTTCCAGAATCTTCTTTTAAATGTCACCAATCCTCTTTCTGGAAATCTGTCAATACCACCTCTGCTCTCAGCTCCTGAGGACTCCATCCTCACGTCACCATCTCTGATGTCACAGCAGGACTGCATGGCTGTGTTGGAAACCTTGCTCCCCCATTAGCTGTCATAGCCCCGTGAGGACTGGGCTCCTCCCTTCCCCCCATCTGGCCTGAGGATCTATCACTGGGGCCTCCATGTGATGGGTGCAAACTGTCTTCACAGTAGGGGTACCTGAGTCAGGGGGGCTGAGGAGGCATCTGCCGAGTTTGGGGTCTGGACAAGGGCGTCACTCTTACTCTCCTTGCAGCATCACCGACCACGGGCCCCCCTGCAGTCCAGCCCACGGTCACAGCCATCATGTCTAAAGCCTGGATCCTCCCCGTGGTCCTCACCAGTTTCTTCATACCTGTCTTCGTGGGCTGTGTCCTTTCCAGGAAAAGGTACTGAGGGCAGATTTCAGAGGAAAGGCAGGGGCACAGGGCCTGGTGTGAGGAGGGGGAAGGTGAATCCCAGCCGACCCCTGCCCCTCACTGAACCTCCTCATCCTGGAAATGAGCCAGTGGATCAGACCCCATGTCACCTGAGAGCAGAACTCGGACAAACTCAGCCCTGAGTTGTGAGAGGTCCTCACCATCAGGTGACATTGTGAAAAGGGAGGGACCTGCACTAGGCTGAGGGCCGATTGATGCTGAGAGGGTTTAGCCACGTGCCCTGACTGCGCATAGACCGCTGGCTGGCAGGGCCCAGGGTGGGTGGTGTGAGAACGGCAGGCGCTCAGGCCGAGGGCAGGACTCCCGGGGCTGAGAGCAGCATGGGGCTCCTCATGACGTGTCAGCGGGGAGGGGACCCACCCAGGGCCAAGATGAGATGGCCCGGCTCTCATCCCAGGAGGGAGGGCTGGAAAGGCCTTTGCAGACCCAGCTCCAAAGGCCTGTTCTCACCGGAAGTGGCTTGGGCCAAGCAGGCAAGGCAGAAGCCCCACAGGAGAGACTGTGGGAAGGGGCGCGGCCAGGCCTGTGCTCCTGGAGCAGCAGCAGTTCTGACTCAGCCTGTGGCCTGCTCGTCACCAGCCTCCTGGGGACCCAGAGCCTCCATCACTGAGCGGCCCTGCCTTGAGCCCAGGTGCCTGGGGATGGTGGGCCTGAGCTGGGGTGGAGGCGCCCAGCTGGGCGGGACCAGGAAGAGATGGGGGGATGGGACCCTGGTCCTGAGAGCTGTGTGTGCTGCTGGCTCAGAGGCTGGAGGGGAGCGATGGAAGGAGGTTTGCCTGTAGGCCCCCAAGGATGTCAGGAGGCAAGGCCCCTCCTCCAGGGACCTGCTCCCTGGCCCTTTAGGCCCCCCTCGGGGAGGATCCGGACCTGAGTGAAGGGAGCAGATTGATTCCTCACTGGCTCCAGTCCTGAGCCTGCGCAGGGGGTGTCAGGGCCTGGGGTGACTCTGTGATGCAGGAAGGAAGGAGGAGGGGACAAGAAGCTGCTGGGACTGGGGTGGGGGTGGGGTACATAGGAGCCCCTCAGTGAGGGCGGGGCTGGGGGGGCTGGGGAGGGGCAGCCCCAGGAAAGTGACAGGATTCCTCAGCCTCCTGGACCAACACCTCTTTCTTTTCTGCAGTAGATGGTGCTCCCAGGAAGCCCCTGACAGGTGCTCTGATGGCCTCAGGACTTGGTCTTTGCTTGGCCGCCTTTGTTCTCCTGCTGTTCACTTTAGAGCCAAGAAGTCAGAGCTTCAGAATCCCAAGTCTGTCTACGAGGTATGATGACACAGTGGCTGCACCATCTCGTGTCTCTTGTCACATCTGATGAACATCCTCCTCAACCTCTTTATTTTTTTTAAATCTCCTTTCCCATTTTCTCTTGGTGTTGAGTGATGCAGTCTCTGCACTGATGCTTTGAACTACTTGAACCAGAGATCACCACAAACATAACACTTTCAATCTTCTAGTTTTTGGAAAATTAGACCTTTCACTGCATTGTGACCTTATTCTTAAAGATGATGATATTGCTGGAAAAATACATCTGCTATTACAGGACTCAGGGATTTTTTTCCTATATCTAGAGAAACAACTTTGTTATATTTTCAAAGGAATAAAATTTTACATTGACTGGTTCCCTTCATAATTTATTACCCTCTTGGTGCTGAGTTGTGTTCGACTCTTTGTGACCCCATGGACTGTAGGCCACCAGGCTCCTCTGTCCATGGGATTTCCCAAGCAAGCACACTGGGATGGGCTGCTATTTCCTTCTCCAGGGGATCTTCCTGATCCAGGGATCAAACTCATGTCTCCTGTGTCTCCCGTACCTCATTCATTGGCAGGCTGATTCTTTACCACAAGCGCCACCTGGGAAGCCTTTATAGTAATTCTTAAATCAACATCTCTATATTGCAGAAAAGTTAAGTACTTCATGCCTGTTTTCTAATCCAGGAGAAAAGTCATGGTATTTCACCATTCCTCCACATTATGAGATTAAACAGAATCAATGATAATGCTTTATTTCTTGTGGAAACAGAAAATGTAAGGATCACTCCTAAAGTAACATGCAGTCCAGCTGTGAAGTGATCCTTAATTTCTTTGGATTTTTAAATGTATATTTCACCATATCCCAACAGTAGGTCATGTGTTCACCCTACTATGCAGCCATCCGAGTGTTAGTTCCAGGCTCAAATCATAGACTAAAATCCATGTAGATAGAGGCCGACCTCAGAGTTATTGTTGGCTGTGTTCCAGACCAGGGCAGTAAAGTACATTTCACAATAAAGAGAATCACACAAATTTTTTTCATTTCCACTGCACATAATATTACGTTGACATGGAAGTCTGTTAACTGTGCAATACCTTTATGTCTGAATAAACAATGTACAGAGCTTAATAAGCACTTTATTTCTAAAGTAAAACATGTTGGGCATCATCAGAGCCTCCAGGGAGTCACCATCTTTTTGCTGGGGTAGGTCGTGTCTCAGTGTCTGTGGCTGCTGACTGATCGAGGTGGTGGCTGACGGTTGCAGTGGGTAGTGCAGTTTCTGAAAATAAGACAATGATGAACTTTGCCACATCATTTGACTCTTCCTTTCACAGAAGAATTCTCTTAGCATGTAATGCTCTTTGACAGCATTTTACCCATGGTAGAACTTCTTTCAAAACTGGAGTCAATCCTCTCAAATCCTCCTCCTGCCTTTTCAACTAAATTTATTCTAAACTTAGAATATTCTAAGTCCTTTGTTGTCATTTCAACAATCTTCACAGAATCTTCACCAGGAGTAGATTTTATATCAAGAAAACACTTTGTTTGCTCATCCATTAGAGTCAACTCTCATTTATTCCAATTTTATCATTAGATTGCTACAATCAGTCCCATCTTTACATTAGGCTCCACTTCTAATTCTAGCTCTCTTGCTATTTCTGCCACATCTGTAGGTACTTCTTCCAGTGAACTCTTGAATCCCTCAAAGTCATCTAAGAAGGTTTAAAATCAACTTCTTCTAAATTTCTATTAATGTTGAAATTTCAACCTCTTTTCATGAATCACAAATGATTTGGGTGGAACTTATAATCGTGAATTTGCTTTAGAAAGTTTTCAATTGACTTTGCCCAGATCCATCAGAGGAATCACTATTTGTGGCAGCTATAGCCTTGCAGAAACTGTTTCCTAAATTCCACGACTTGAACATCATGACTACTTGATCCGTGGGCTACAGAATGGATGCTGTGTTAGCAGGTATGAGAACAACATGAATATCATTGTACTTCTCCATCAGGGCCCTTGGGTGCATTCTCAATGAGCAGTGATATTTTGAAAGGAATCCTTTTTTGTGAGCAGTAGGTCTCAACAGTGGATTTAATACTTAAGGTAATCAGTGTTGTAAACAGAAGTCATCTCGTCTTTGTTGTTCCATTTGCAGAGTACAGGCAGAATAGATTTAGCATAATTCTGAAAGTCAGAAGGATTTTCAGAAGGTAAGTGAGGCTTGGCTTCAACTTCAAGTCACCAGCTGCATTAGCCCCTAACAGGAGAGTCAGCCTATTCTTTGAATCTTTGAAGGCAGGCACTGACTTCTCCTTGCTAGCCATGCAAGTCCTCGGGGGCATCTTCTTCCAATAGAACACTCTTCTCTACACTGGAAAGCTCTCATTTAGGATAGCCGACTTCAGAGATGATTTTATTAGATCTTCTGGATGACTTGCTGCAGCTTCTGCATCAACCCTCAATGTTTGACTCTGTGCTGTATGTTAGGAAGATGGCTTCTTTCCTTAAACCTCATGAACCAACTTCTACCGGCTTTCTACTTTCTTTTCTGCAGCATCCTCACCTCTTTCAGCCTTCATAGAATTGAAGAGAGCTAGGAACTTGCTCTGGATTAGGTTTTGGCCTAAGGCAGCGTTGTGATCTTTCGTCTACTCCACTGAAAGATTCTCCATGTCAGCAGTAAGGCGGTTTTGCTATCTTCTCATGTGTGTGTTCACTGGAGGAGCACTTTTGAATTCCTTTAAGAACTTTTCCTTTATGTTCACAACTTGACTATTTGTGGCAAGATACCTAGTTTCTGGCCCATCTTGGCTTTGACATGCCTTCTTTAAAAGCCTAACCATCTCTATCTTTGGATTTAAAGTGAGGGATGTATGATTCTTCCTGTCAATGGGACATGTAGTGGTAAGGTTATTAATTGGCCTAATTTCGATATTGTTGTGTCTCAGGGACTCAGGCATCTCAGGAGAGAGATGGACGGGTCAACGGAGCAGTCAGGACACACACACATATTGGATGGCAATGTGCCCATGGTTCCTGGCACCCCAAAACAATTACAATACTAACAAGAAAGATCATTGATAACAAAAGGCAAAATCAAGATGGATCAAGTAGGACACCCTGAGCCCCACTCTCCCATGAACACACCAAAACTAAAACCACATACAAAACAGCTCTCTTTCCGAGAAAATGACCTGAAACTGGCAGAACATCCCCTCTACAACCAGTATAGAGAAAGAACCACACTGAGAAGGGCAGGAGCAGAAAAGCAGGAATCTAGTTAGGACCCTTTGGCGAGTTACTCTCAAACGGAGGGGCCATCACAAACTGGAGCATTCTGCCTAAGAAGCAGGAGGTTTTGGCCCTACATCAGGCACCCAAGCCCTGGTGCAGTGCTGGGAGAAACAACCCCACGACCCCATGCCCGCACTCCCGTTTTGGAAACCAAGAGGGTTGATGATCTGGAGTACTGGAGGACTGTGGGAAATGGAGACTCCACTCTTAGAGACCATGGGCACAGAATTGCTTGCTCCCTGTCCCAGCACAGAGTCAGCAGATTACAAAGGGTCTGGTGCTCTGGCCAGCATTTGGAGACCATGCCTAGCACTGGCTGGGGCTCACAGCCAACAGAGCTCCAGACAGGAGACTCTCCGCAAATCGCCACACCCCCCACCAACACACACACACACACACACACA